TCCCGAGCTCCACTCAGGCGTCGAAGAATTATAGAACTTAGGATCTTAGACACTATGTTCGTCAGGCTGATTCCTCTGTGGTTATCAGAAGAGGACTTCTCGCCTTTCTTGAAGACTGGGATGATGAGTGACTTAGACCAGTCGGAGGTGATCGTATTTGATTCCCATATACTAGCTAACACTTCCGTTAACCTTACTAAGAGCACTCTACCACCATTCTTGTATACCTCAGCAGGTAGTCCGTCTGGTCCTGCTGCCCTTCCCCGTTTCAGGCTACCTACCACTTTCTCAACTTCTTCTAGTCAATGCTACATTGGACAAAGTGGTCGCCCTCTTCGCCTTCGTCTACATGAACACCAATTGGCTATTAAACGTCACACATGACATGTCATCACTCATTTCAATGCGAGTGGATAATTGTGGACATGAATTGAGTTTCGACAATGTAGAAATGTTGGATGGAGATAGGAAACACAAAGAATATCATGAGAGAATTCCTAGAAGCCTGGTATTCAGATCAGTCAGTCAGTCAGTCAACAATCAACAGATGTATAGACATAGACCCGATGTATCAACCAATAAGAAAAATGATAAACAACAGAAAGGTGAGATCAAGCAGAGGGACAGCCAACCGGAAAGTCTATAAAACCAGTGACACAAGAATTGGAGGAAACAACCAATCATAGACCACATCATCAGAGCAAGCTACTAAATGACTCATTCAGGGAGAGATATTGACAGCTCACTTCATCCTGAAGTTAGTGCTGATGATGTTGTTGTCTAGCAAGACGATGAAAGCTTCATGATTAAAGAATCCAGCTCAGAGTACACAATACAACCAAGACTATCCTTCTGAGCTACAGATATTCTCCATTAGTTCCTATGAATTTATTTGCTCATTTCCCTGCAATTACTTGGACGGGAAAGTTAGTTTTACAATTTCATATAAATCAAACCCTATCAAAGGCTAACTTGAGCGAATCATTCCTATTCTTGAAATAAACCTTAAATTAATAATCAAACTTTAAGAATCTGAGAATAGTTATCATTAGATTACAATACTGTTAAGGATCCAGATAACCAGACATATACGAAATTGGTTTATCAGTACATGATGTAGGTGCTTTCTAACCAACTATATATTTTACTGGTATAGGGTAAATATGTTAAAAATTACTTGAATTTTGCGTTAAATCCTGAGAAATAAGTAGATGAAGACACTGAAAATACTACTTAATCATAGATGTCTCAAATGAATCAGGCTATATAATATGAAAAAAGGTCTTAAATTTCATACAAGTCACAATTACCCATTACACGAAGAAATTGGTAAATGTTAAATATGATATAATACACTAATCCATTTTAATCTGTTTATTACATGTACTACATTGTGAAACGGCATAATTATTTACTGAATAACATTTAGGACACAATTTATTGTCCCTTATTCAAAACAAATGACTCCGCAATACTGACACATCCTTTATGTGGTTCTTACCTTCTTTTCTTTTTTGATATAAAGGCAGTAGAATTTTTGATATGTCTTGGAAAGTTGGAGAATAATTTTCATTGCAAGTTTTTAGCATTAATTCGATAAACACAGATTCGGTTATGAATCTCTCCCTCCACTTAACTAAGTCACTTTCAAATACTGTTGATCTATCCAATTTTGTTTTATGACTGTGAGCAACTGCGTCCATAACCTATATCCCCTGGAAAATTTCCTGTCTTATTATTATTTTTTTTCCCTTGGGTTCCTAATGGAACATACCGCTTCAGTAGTACATCATCATTCCAATCTCTTCTCTTCAGTCTTCAAAACTTGGCACCACAACTGCCCACAAGCTTTCATTTCTTCCTCACACCATCTCCTCCATGTCACCCTCATCTCGGATGCCCAACTCGTCGTTTCCCCTTTGGATTACACTCGAAGGCCTGTCACGTTGTGTCCCCAGCCGGTCTTCTCAGTGTATGCCAAGTAGAATCCATCTCCACTTTCTTCTGCATATTTGTTCAGCAATAGGTTCTTGGTTGGTTCCTTGTTGCTTATTCTCTCTTGGCATCTAATTTTCAGCATCGAGCCAGAGTAGGTGGCAGCTGTTGATGAATGTCTGCAGTTTGTTGGAAATGTTTTTATGAAACGCCAATTTTCTATGTCATCATGTAGAAGCACTGACTTGACTGACATTAGTGTTGAAAATCCGGATGTTGTTCACACTTTATGCTGAGTGGAGTGCAGTAGATTTCCACACTGATTTCAGATTAATGAAAACCTGTCTTGCTTTTCCGATGCTAGTTATGACATCCTCGTCTGTGCGGCCGCCGCTTGTAGTTGAAAAGATGCTGCCCACGTGGTGGGTAAAAGAGACTACTTCCTTTAGGTTCCTTCCGATAATGATGATTGGTGCTTTTTGTTGTTGATGTTGTTGGTTGGGTATCTTCATCATCTCCGTCTTCTCTACGTTCACTTGAACTCCCGTCTTCACTGTCTCACCTCTTCTGTCAACTCGTTAGTTTTCGCCTGTAGATCTTCAAGTTTGTGCGACATTAGACATAAATCATCGGCTTTTTTCATCGGTCTAGTGTATGCTCCTCTTCTCACTCCTCACAGTTTGCTGCATGACCACAATCCGGAAGATTATAGGTGATAGCAGACGACAACCTTGTCTTACTTCTGTCTTTACTTCAAAGGCGTCACTGAGCTTTCAGTTCCTATCTTATTAGGATCTACCTATCTTGATTTAGCTACATTTTTATGCTCTATTATTCCAACCAACCCTGGTCGACTACTGTGACCTATTTATTTAAACCCACTTGATAAGGGAAATCCAATTGCTTAATTGGTCTAATAGGAAAGTTTAACTTATAAAGCTTGTTTCCAAGCTTTTTTCTTGTTCTAATCCCAGATTTATCCATAAATTTTCATGGCGTTTCTTACTCCTATATTATTGAATTAAGGTTTTTCGAAAAATATCCTAAGGAAAAACAAGTTAGTCTATACATATGCTTTACTGTTAACATTAAAGTATTCTGTTTTACATTTTCGTACCACTACTGATGCTCTATTCTCAGTTTCACAAATGTAGAATTGTCATCCAAAAAAAATAATCACAAAGTACAAATCAGTTTATTTCTTTTGAATTGAAACATATGAAGAAATAAGGCATAAATAAAAGACTGGTTTCCCGACTGAATGAGATACTAGATACTTCAAAATGATCAATCACTCCCAAAATCACCATAACATTGTGAAGTTTCTCTATCTAAACTGGAGAGTTCATAGGAATTACAAGTCTTTGGTGTGCATATTATCGTTTAATACTTAGCAATATATCTGACTAGCCCCTAAAATTAAAGAGCTTTGTTGAATTACACCGCACCTTTGTAGTAGATCTTTGGACACGAAAAAACTATGTTAACAATGTAACTTAGGATGAAACTCATGAGAAAACCAGACCAGCGTCGTTTAATGATTTAAAAACAAATTTATGAAGTACACTGTGATGTGATTTCATGAAGTTTTCATCCAAAAGTAATCAGTAATTATTCGTTCAAGTGAACAGCTTTAACGTCATATTTCACATAAAAATAATCTTGGGAAGGTTTTTCATAGAAAAATATTTTATGTCATTTTATGAAGAAACGTACGTATATTACTCTTTTCACCTGTTATAGAATTCTGGAAATGTTTTCTATCCGATAAATTGAACATTATGTTTCTTGCACCAATAGGTCAACGATTCCTTAGGGTTTATCTCCTAAGTGAAGTCTGGTCTGTAAGTTACAACACTAAATAGTTTTAAAATCCTTCTGTTATGCTACTTCTGATCTATCTAAGGAAAAACAAGGCCTACCATTCGAGGAAGTAAACCGTACATGTTATCAAGGTTTGGTTCTGAAATCCTGAACAAAAGGAGCCAATACAAATGGTTATCTGAACTTTCTATAAAATTAACTGACTGATAATTGAAGTTTGAGGGCGTTGTGGGGATTTGGAAATATTTCAACTTGTTATTCACCGTAGACTGACATCAGTTAGAGGAACAAAAGAAACCTGGAAGCACTGGACAGCTGTTTCGTCCAACTAGTATGGGACTCCTCAGCAGTGTGCACCCACGACCCCATTCTCCAGGGATCGAACCTGAAGCCTTCAGGCTCCGCGGTCAGCACGTTACCATTGAGCCACTGGATTACAATCCAGTCGTCCATATTTCTAACTTCTGTTAGCTCATGATATAGCGCAACCGCAACCCAGTTTCATCGTTGAGTAACTGTCCTCATGGCCATCAGGCTTTTCCCCCACCGGTCACCACTTCTCATTGGAACTTCGGGAATACGTCTCGCAGTAGGTCACCAATGAGCACCAGTTTAACTGAAGTTTGAGGAAGTTGTGGGGATGAAACATGTAGGACGAAACAGCTGTTCAGTGCTCCCAGGTTTCCAGTGTCCCTCCGACTGATGTCAGTCTACGATGAATGACAAATTGACTGATAATTGTTGTTTTACATTCGATTTTAACAGCAGCTTCCGTTATGTTAATATTCAGTATTATGAATTAACCACCATAAACATCAATTTTTATAGTCATTGGTTTAAAGCAACATAAGTTAAACAGATAAGAAACGTCAGATGAGGCCTTTCTCTTTCCACTCTAGGTATTATTGATTTGTCTATGTTGGAAGATAACTTGTTATTAAAAACATATCTAGCTATGGTTATTTCAACAGTCGATTTCCATAACTTTCACTTTACCCAGCAGAAAATAGCTTCAGCAATAAGCCACAACAAGCTACATTCCCTTTCGTCTATAAGAATGTAAAAGTATTAGAAAACCCCTATATATATTTATAAGGAAAATCTCACATGAATCAAATTTCAATATTTTAGTAAGACGTAAGATTACACGTGTTGACCTTTCTGATTTATGTTTAGTGGATAAATCGTTAGTCTTACAAAAATTTCAGTTAATTGACATATTTACATACACATAAACTTACTTGGATCAGATAGTTTGTTACTTTTGAGAACAATCATTATATTAATAATCACAATTAGAAACTGTAATTTCATTACTCAATCATATTCCACAGGAAGTGTTAACGTTGCTTATTTATATCATGTAAATTATGTAACATTGCTTTGAATGACTAATATTCATGGTAAAAGTAGTAGTAAAACAGTTAAAAGTGAGTAGTATCTTAATGCAGAATGATTATATGTTAATGATAAGTCAGATTTTATAACTAATGGATTACGAGATTTTTGATTGGTTGTATAAAACTGACCAATAAAATCATAGAGATTTTTTAGCATTCTTAGATAATTTAAACAACACTCAAGAGATCTGTCAGTTGTTCTATAAACAATTAACAAATCGGAAAGAAACACTTAAAATTCTTGAAAATAAATTTATGCATATATACTAATAGATTTTTAATAATGTTGGACCAAACATTTTTTTTATTCAGAGGTTTTTCAACCCGGAAACAAGTCACGTGTTTTCTTATATTTCTAGCTAATTTTTCCATACGATGTAGATATGCATATACCTTTCTGAGAATTTTGTATCTTATAAAATGACTGTAAAAGGACAGTAATAGTCAAGGCAATCTTTAAATGAAATTGGGTATGTGTAAGGTGTACAGATAAGATTTTTATAAGGAGGTCTCCATGGCCTCATTCATAACTCTATTTCATTTTGTGTATTGGATGCGTCAGAGAGTGAACCACTCTTGCTTACAGAATTACTTTTCCTTCACAAATTCTTGTCCATAGTCATAGCAATTTGAATGTATTCAAAGGTATATTCTGTTCATTATACCAACTGACTATGTAGATTCGCTCAGAGTTACACTCATGTTGAAAATGTATGCGTCGAAAGAAACTGGACTTCACTTGTAGACAACGAAAAGCCACTGCTTAACGTAACCAAGCTAAAGTCATCAGTAAAAACTAATGTTTTCTTATATATTGTAATCTGCCGCAATCAGCCTGAATGTCCCTTATTCCTAACTGAAACATTTTTGTGCGCTGAAATATTGATGCTGAGCTGATTCTGCACTACGTGTGAAGTTATTTGAAAATTCTAGCAGTTCTCAGTGTGAAGTTGCTTCTAGTTGGTAAGTGATGATAGTGAAATGACCCAGCGCGTTGAAAATTTCTTTTAACTGGAATTTCGAATCAGCTTGTTTGAGTCAGTGACCATGACAATCAGGACCATGATAACCACCTGCCATTCCTGAATGTTTCAGTCAATAGAAGCAAAAGTGTAAAAGTGGAAACCCAAGGACATAAATTCAACTTACACTAATCAGATCTATAACTACAGTAACAATAACCCAAGAACGCACAAAAATAGCTGCTTGCAGACTATATTCAAAACAGCGAGAACACACTGCAGCACAACAACTTCATGGAGAAACGAAGAAGATTATTTGATGTCTGTCCTAAAGAAGAACGGCTACCCACAAAACTTTATCTAAAGATGCCTATCCCGTACATCATCAACTACAAAGTCACCGACAGAAATCAACAAACGCATCGTTCTACCATACATATAGAATATATCAGAAATCACGACAAAATTGCTGAGACACATGGAATTAGTGTGGCTTGTAAACCAACAAATTCTCTCCAAATACTACTGTGCAGACCAAAGGATGCAACAAGCAAAGAAGATAAATCGAATATCATTTACAAAATCAACTGCAATAACTACAGTCAACGCTACATTGGACAAAGTGGTCGCCCACCTTCGCCTTCGTCTACATGAACACCAATTGACTATTAAACGTCACGCATGACATTTCATCACTCATTGCAATGCGAGTGGATGATTATGGACATGAATTGAGTTTCGACAATGTAGAAATGTTGGAGGGAGAGGGGGAACACAAAGAATATCATCAGAGAATTCCTAGAAGCTTGTCATTCGTTTCAGTCAGCAATCACTAGATGTATAGACATAAACCCAGTATATCGAACAATAAGAAAAATAATAAACAACAGAAAGGTGAGAGGTCAAGCAGAGGAACAATCAGCAAGAGAATCCATGCAGTTTATGACACCACAACCAGTCACAAATCAGTTCTTTGGGACAAGGTACTGAATCACTCACCGAGAGAAACTGACAGCTCACTTCATACTGAAGTTGGTGCTGATCATGTCGTCTAGCAAGACGATGAAAGCGCGACAATCAAACAACTCAGCTCAGATGACACTATACAACCAAGATTATTTCTCATAATCACCTGAATCACAAACATGTCTTTCTGAAAGATATCCATTTCAGGTCATTTCATCCAATTACCTATAAGGCGGGTTCAGCCAAATGTCTAAATAATAGAGCTAGAAAACTCACTAGTCAATGCGAGGAAGCTTTACTAATTATTAATAATCTTCTACTGTTTGTTTGAAAACTCGTACGAACACGAGAAATGAAATGATAAGAACAACACAAATACGAATAATGGTGACAAAACGACTAGAAGACAGTTCAAAGGTTCTACTCTGCTAACATATCAGGAACATAAGAAAGTTTACGTAGCGCTCTCAACAAGGCTGGAATAATGGTGCATTTAAACTGACAAACTCACTCAGAGACAGGTTTTGTCAGCTTAAAGATCCGATAGAAGCGGTCCGGCAAAACAAAGCAGTCTACTAAAATTCATGCAATGACTGCGAGGTCAAGTATATAGGTCAGACTAGCAGATACGGGTCAATTAGATTACAAATAGGATCAATAATCTACAAAAATAACTCGGCATCCATTAACACACGATCACACTATATGTTGGAGTAAAACCACTGTACTCAAGTTCAGTATAATTAGGTGAAGAAAGAGATTGATTACTGAGTTTCTGTTCATTGAATCAACAATAATTATGATTATTTTTCTCTTGGTTCCTAGTAGAACATACCGCTTCAGTAGCTCGTCTCCATTACACTCTATTCTCTGAAAACCTTTTAACATGGCACCACAACTACCCACAAGCTTTCATTTCTTCCTCACACGATCTCCTCCATGTCACCCTTAACTCGAACGCCCAACTCGTCGTTTCCCATCTGGCTTCCACTCGAGTGCCTGGCCTGTCGCGGGATGTCTCCAGCCGTCCTTCTTAGTGCATGTCCAATCCATCTCCACTTCCTCCTGCTGCATATTTTTTGGGTGGTAGGCTGTTGGTTGGTTCGTTGCCAGCCAGCTACAGTGAGTTCCTTGTTGCTTATTCTTATTATTCTGGCCATCTGAGCTTCAGTAATGAGCCAACGTAGGCGGCAGTTGATGAATATCTGTAGATTTTTGGAAATCCCTTTCGTAACGTACCACGTTTCTGAATCATATAGAAGCACTGACTTGACTGACGTTGTTGTTGAAAATCCGGATGTTGTTCACGCTTTGTACTGATTGCAGAAGATCTCTACACTGGTTTCAAGTTAGTGAATGCCTGTCTTCCTGTCTTTCTGATCCTGGCTGGCTTTTACGTCGTCGTCTGTGCCTGTGCCGCTTGTAGTTGAAATGATGCTGCCTTGGTGGTAGGTGGAAGAGGCTACTTCGTTTAAGTTTCTCCCACTGATGGTGATTGGAGCTTCGTGTTGTTAGTGGTCGTGGTGTTGGTTGGGTATCTTCATCACCTCAGTCTTCTCTACTTCCATCTGATATCCTTTCTCCGTTGCCTCTTCTGTAGGATTATGCGCAAGTATAAATAAAATATTCATTCATAGTACAAGGTTAGTAAATTTATTGTAGTCTTGAAAGTATATTCAATCATAAAATACCTCAACAATTAGGAAGTTAGGTATAGTTTTATCAAACATGAACCTTTGTATAGTCAATCGGTAAACTTTGGGTAGAAAAATCCTGAGATCCGAAATTAAGCAGAAGTAAAGAATAGCTTCTGTTTGCATCTGTATTGGTATATTAGAAGTTTGCATTCGTAATATGAATGATTTCGTACATCATCCTGTTACGCCGCTGTCATCAAACTGAAGTGGTGATCAACTTAGAACTGCTAACTCCATTTCAAAATTTCAGTACAGTTACCGACAAACCATTTGTTTCATGTTAGTTGGAACCTATCAGTTAGGCATTATATTTAAATGCAAACCTGATCAATTGTAATTTAACGTGTGTATTGGTTACCAATTTTTGGAACTAAGCCGGTTCACAATTGATCCAGTCATAACTAAAACAGCGTAGTAGAATAGTCAGTAACTTCCAATGAAGACTGCACATGACTCTTGCAAAAGAATGCCGTTATGCAAGAAACTTTCATTCTTGTCTATTTTTAACTAAACTAAGGGGTGAAGTAACTGACATTATGAACAGTGACCAAAAATATGCTATGGCCTTTATTCAGGAAAACATTTGCCTGCTTTATGCCTTCTTTATCGGCAGATGTTCACCAACAACATATTACCAGATAGGAAATAAAGTCAAAGCGCTGGATTAAACGATTTTCATTCCGATTATAGTCTACTATTGTAACTGTTTTTCCTTAGCTTAGTAATACTGTAACGAAACATTACTGATTATGTCGTTTTTTTCCCGCTAACAATGATTATTTATTATAGGCATAAAATATCTGAAGGAAATTAAGTTCATAGTAGCTGGAAACCAGAAGAAAATTTATTGGGGTTATTGTTTATTATATTCAGCAAAGTTATTTATAGATGAAGTTTGTATTTCGGTAGGTCAGTTACTTTTCATTCATTCTTATTCCTAATCTTCTTCAACCATTTACATCTATGCATGATTTTAGCATCGAACGAACTAGGTTTGAATAACCAATAGAACACCGATTTCCTAATGGTTTCCCACAAGCCTAACTGATAAGTGTTAACAAGCACAAAACCCAGGTTTACGATTTCTTAGCGATAACCTTCCATCATCTAATGCTGAAATCTGGCATACAGTTAAGATGCATCATTTCATCTATTGGCCATATTTGCAGGAGTTACTATGACACTTCAAGTAGCATTGATTCGCTCCATATCTCTGTCCCAAAGTGTCAAAGTGTAGAAGCGCCACATGACACAGCTAGGTGGTGCTGTGCATGTATTGCTGGTTCCTGAAGACCATTGCGGTTTCTTGCATGGAGGATTATGGATCGAACCTAGTAGCGTACAAATGATGAGCCTCTTCATGGCCTCACTGGATATCAGCCAACAAAACGTCAAGTTGACTTAACTAAAAGCACAGTCCACGAGGTCCACAG